AGTCTCTTGGGTGACTGCCAAACTTCACCCTCACACAATAGGCCTCAGTAAAACAGTGGGCCTTAATAAGCACATTCCTTTCCCTTCAGGTGCACTAAGATACGGAAGCTAAAAGCAAATTCAGAGAATATGCCTGCAGCTGCCGAGAGATGTATGGGAAGAGACACACAACTCTCCCTCCCAGATACAGCTAGTGCTCGAACTACGACCACTATTGGCTCCGACAGACCGGTCATAACACGATTTGGTCATAAATTGAGTAGGCTATATGCATGTGGAGATGGTAGTGCTGCCGGAAGCTGGTCCACACTGTCGTACGCCCAGCTGGGCAACGTTTGCGCTGCCAGACGCGGAGCAGTCGTGGCTAGTGATTGTGGTCGTAAAGTTGAATGGTTGTAAGTTGCATAGGTCATAAGTCGATCAATACCTGTAAGCACAACAAAGAGACACAGAAGTCGTCCAAGTCTCTGATAAAAACTCTTAGTCTGTAATAGAGTGCGGCTTTTGACCTAACTTGTCAGAAGTCCTCCCCAGGTTGGAAATAAACCTGTTGACTGTCGAGCCGTACTTCTTCTTTGTCTCCTGTTTCCTTAATTCTTACAACAACAAAAACTACAAATTGGACTTCATTAAAATTAAAAACTACTGCTCCAGACTCTGTACAGTTTGGCTTTTAGTTCAATCAGACATCCAGTGGGTACACACTCTGCAGTTTTTCCTGTAATTCTTCTTTCTGGGGCGTTCTTAGAATCAACTAAAGATTGATTAAATAACCTGTCAAATGTGAACTTGAATATACAAGCAGAATCAGGATTGTGCTTTTAAAGCTCACAAATGTGTTTAGATTAGATACTACATGGTGGCTTAATAAAAATTTCCTTTATCATATTCTAATTGCAGTTTGTTCTGCCAGAATCCACACCACCCTACACTACTTCTGTCAGATATAAAAATAGAGGATAAAAACCTGTCCAACTTTAAAATTGCCCATCTTGAGCCAAATTGAAAATCAGAGCACAGTCATTGAAGATAAAGGTTGGATGGTACATCCACTATTAAAAGAAGATTCACTTCTGCATTTGTGCCTTAGCAGAAAGTGATTTCTGGGGTTGGAATTCTTGGGAATACATAAGGGGAAGTCACACGAGGTCATCAAGACCATTGCTGAAGAGCTCCAAATGTCTGTTTGGTTCAGACTGATGCAATAGCATAGGACAGAGATTGGCAAACTACAATTTGCTGCCTGTTTATATGAATAAAGTTTTATTGGCACATATCTAAGCCCATTTATCTACATATTGTCTATCGCTGAGTTTGCACTGCAATAGCTGAGTTGGGTAGCTGCAACAGTGATAGTGTGGCCTGCAAAGCCTAAAGTACTATGTGGCCCTTTACACAAAACTCTGTCGACCCCTGCCAAATAACATCATTCTTTGATGTCAATCCGGATAGCACCATTTAGATGTCTCACAGACAAATCTAATGGGACACATTTAAAAAGGCATGCACCTCCATAAACCTGTTTCATCTTCAGTGTTCCCTCTCTCAGTTAATAGTGCTACCATCACCAATTTGCCTGAATGAGAAGCCTCCCTTCCCTTTACCTCCCACACCCCCTCCATTACTCTATTCCCCATCCATCAACACACCCTGCCAATTCTACTTCTCACTGCATTTCAAATCTGACCACGTCTCTCCATTTCCACTACCATTTTCTTAGTCTAAGTCACCATCATTTTGTTCAAGATTGACAACAGTTTTCTAACTGATCTTTCTGCCTCTAGTTTTGACCACCCTCTGCTTCTAATCCATCCTCCACCCAGTAGGAACCAGAAGGATCTTTTTAACATCTAAATCTAATTTTGTAACAAGCATAATAAAATAGGTAGCTCAGATTTAATGAGCCCTTACTATGTGCCAGGCATAGTTCTAAGCACTTTGCATGTAGTAACTGACCTTAATCTTAACACTTACCCTATAAGGTAGATATTATTATCTCCATTCTTTAGAGGAAGACATTGAAAAACAGAGAACTTGTTCAGTTACACAGTAAACAACAGAGCCAGTTGTAACTGCTTTATTATACTACTCTACACACACACACACACACACACACACACACACATATATTTTTTCAGAGATGGAGTCTCATTCTGTTGCGCAGCCGAGAGTGCAGTGGCATGACCTCGGCTCACTGCAACCTCCGCCTTCTGGGTTCAAGCAATTCTCCTGCCCCAGCCTCCCGAGTAGCTAGGATTACAGGCACATACCACCACACCCAAGCTAACTTTTGTATTTTTAGTGAAAACGGGGTTTCATCATGTTGGCCAGGCTGGTCTCAAACTCCTGACCTCAAGTGATCTGCCTGACTTGGCCTCTATTATTATTATTTCTTTTTTGAGATAGGGTCTCACTCTGTTGTCCAGGCTGGAGTGCAGTGGCACTATCTCCACTTACTGCAGCCTCTGCCTCCCGGGTTCAAGTGATTCTCCTGCCTCAGCCACCCAAGTAGCTGGGATTACAGGTGTGCACCAACACGCCTGGCTAATTTTTGCATTTTAGGTAAAGACAGGGTTTCACCATATTAACAAGACTAGTCTTGAACTCTTGGCCTCAAATGATCTCCTCGCCTTGGCCTCTTAAAGTGCTGGGACTACAGGTGTGAGCCACCGTACCCAGTTGAGTCCATACTATTTTTTTTTTTTTATGTCCATTGTCTTATTCTTCTCTAACCCCTGCTTACCTTTCCAGCCTGGTCTTTTGCTATTTACAGCCTTGCAATTTATGCTGCAGCCACCCCCACTGCTGTAGCCCCAAACCCCCCACCCCACCCCCGCCCATACACACACACAC